GGCTTCTCAAACCATCTCGTTGTTGGCTTCTATTCAACTCCCTTTTCGAGTCTTCCATCAGTATGTCGCTATGTTTGCCATGCCTCAAGCGTCATACGGTTGGGTCTCTCGCCTCCCTACTGTCGCTGCTGCCTCCCGTCTTTGGTCCAGTGTGCGTCGTGGTGATGGTAAGTGCTTCATGGCTAACAAACACATCCGTGCTCTTTTCCTCGGTGGCAATTCCCATCTGGAAGTTCTCGCTGTCAAACATCTCCTGGGTGCTGTCGCCGGCTCCGTCGATCGTTCGCTCGCTCGCTGGAATGGCCCACCTGGCAGTCCTGTTCGCACCCTGCGTCAGGCTCTCAAAGACCTTGGTTTCTCCTCTCGACGTCCCTGGGTCTTCTCCCACCAGGTCAGTCAGAACCTGAATCTTATCCAACCCTGTCGGACGAAGTCTGATCGCGACCATCTCTCTCACATCCTTCGTCATGCCTGGCGCGCCACTCTGTGGGAACGCTTTCTCAACAGCGGTCGGCATGAAGCTCAGGAAATCAAACAATCCCTCACTGATCACTGGTCGGCGTTTCGTCGGTTGGACATTGAGGCTTCTCGAAATTGGATCCTTTCCAGTTCTCAATCTCGCACCATGGGTCTGTCGTCGTTTGTCAGTTCTCATTGGCTTCATCTTTCTTCTGGCATCTGCGAACCGTGCGTTTGGGGGTGCGGGGAAAATCATCCGGGATTCTTTCATCTCGCTTGGTCTTGTCCTCTTCGTCCTGATCCTTTCGACCCTCCTCCCTCCATTCTCCTGTCCCGTTTCGGATGGAGTTCGTCGGGCGATGACCCGGTCGTGGTTGAAAAGGTCAGACAAAACCTTTCTAATCTCTGTGAAACCATATGGCAACATCGGTATGGGGGGACTGGCCGTCGCGCAGCGGCCACAGGTGTTGACTAAGGATTGACAGATGATGTGCCCTCCCTGGAGGGCGTGCATGCTGCGGTGGTGGTGGCACTTCTTGCAGCGGAAAGCAATGATGTTTGAAGTTAATGCAACCAATATAATTGCAAGACACATGTGACATGAACTCCAATTGATTGATGCTACATTTGTCAAATGAATCTACTCACATTCACATGGATCACATAACACAATCACAAAAACAACTCCATGAATGATCTGGCACATGATTGAACGTTGAGCGTTCCCAATATTGAGGCCCGCGCTGCTCCACACACCCAAAGAGCACCTGGCACACGTTTGGCTAGTAACAGACACATGTGTACACTGGGACTACTGGGATGCAAGGGTTTGGATGACTTGCCAAGCTTTCATGATGATTTGATGTTCCGCCCTGCCCCCCTTCTTCACTAACCCAAATTGAATGAAACAAACTGCCAGTAGTGTTTGAACACAACACTCTGTAGGGATGTTTTCCAGATTGAAGCAGTAAAGACATATGTGATACTTGTACTAATTGCAGCACCCCTGACAGAACTGAACCCTACCTTTTTTTTCAGCTCGGGATTCGATTTCTCTGTGACTCACACATGACGCACATGACCAGGACAAATGATAGAAATCAAAAAGGCCTTGACATTTGACAGTTTGTTTGAATGCAGGTTTTTGAAGTTGAAAAACTAGCATTGCGTGATCAAACCAAACTGGAGATGTCCCAGTATGTGACAAGTGTGACAATGGAAGACCCGATCATCAATGATGGACAGATGTATCAGTATGGACAAATGTCTCAGCGCCAAAGCACGTTCGGTGGAGCAGGTGCAACAGGAGGGACAATTCTATCCAAATCAGCAGGCTTCAAGTAGAGCCCCCATGCCTCGATCGACACTTGTCCTGCAGGCAGGCCATGCTGAGACATGGAAACTGCTGCCACTGCAACTTTTTACAGTAGTTAGTTATCAAACTCCATCAAAACATTTTTTTATCATGTTTCAAAAACCCAAAAACCAAGCGATCACACATGTCATGTGTCCTAAACAAAAATACTGCTGCTGAGGGAAGGCACCTTGATGTACCAAAAAGGTGTGCTCCTGGTTGTAGGACAGCTGTACATGAAACAATTGTCCCCGATACGTTAGCTTTTTTTAAAGTCTCGTAAAAATATTTTTGTTATCTAGCGTACGTGTAGTGACGAGTGACATGAACGGGGGTATGAACGTGTGTGTGAACGACATGCGTGCGAGTGAACGTACGTGCGAACGTATGTATGTACGAGTGAGCGTACGTGCGAGCGAACGTGTGAGCGTACGTCCGTGCGTTTGCACGGTCACTCGCCACGCGCGCGCGCACGTACGAAAATAAGGTCGACTTGAGTCGACCTTATTTTTGCACGACCCTGCCTCTTTAGTATTGATTTAGTATTGTAGCGCTTTGCACGTACAGAAATAAGGTCGACTCCAGTCGACCTTATTTTCGTACGTGCGCGCGCACGCGGCCAGTGAACGTGCAAACGCACGCACGTACGCGCACACGTCCGTCCACTTGTACGCACACGTCCGTTCACTCGTTCGCTCACACGTGCACTCGTCCGTTCACTCGTTCGCCTTACGTTCGTCACCACGTCCGTTAGCCACTCGTACCCCCTACGTTCACCGCGTCTCTTGGAGCTTTAAAAGCATTGTTTACGAGGCTTTAAAAAAGCTAACCGATACGGGACAACTGTAGTCTGGCATGGGAGGTGTTCGTCCAGCCACGACACATGTGCACGTAAGCTGCGCCCCCTTGGTTGGCGCTGCTCCCCTGCCCAGTCCGATGCTCTCGCGATGAGAGCATTCCAGGCAGTCCCAAGGGCACAAAGCAGAATCAGAAATGTGACTTGTGTTACTTAGAATCATGTTTGGATCCCTATGCCCCACTACAAACACCAAACACTCTTCAAGGAAAGTTCAAGAAAAATAATGACTGAACAACAAGTCACTCCAGACAATTGTGCTGCCTGGCCTCCCCTCCTCCACATTGATGGCAAATGCTCCTTCATCATAGTGCCTTAGACAACAGTTTGTCCATCAAGACCTAAACTGAAGTCATAACAAGTTCTTTCTGAACTGAATGAAACCTCACAAATATCTCACAAACAATGTGTAAACACTTAACTTAAATTCAACATGCAGGAACATTGCGCAACTGCTTCAATTCAATATTCTATTTGATCAAAACATAAAACAAAAATAGAACCCAAGTTTAAAACGAGTGGCGGCTTGTGGATTTGGCCCACAGCTGGAAGGTTGTTGGACAAGCGTACTGACAATTGAAGCCCCCTTAGCCATCAAACAATTGTCATCAATGGCATCCCCATGAATTAAGAAACAACACCAATACCCTACCCAAAGAAAGGCACAAGTAGATTGAAACACTTCACATTGAAAATCCACTCTCAAAATATACAATGCTGATAAATAATAAACAAACAACTCCCGAAGATCTTCTCGAGGATTCGGGTTCGCACTTGTCATCTTGCGAACAGCGAATTTGGTGCCCTCCTCACCCATCCCACACAAGTACTCAAACACAAGTTCCGTGGACACCTGTGAATCCATTTGGCCTTCCACTTCACCATGACGAGCCATGACAAATGACGACAAATGACGACAAAAGACGACAAATGTCGCACAAATGTCAAGTCAGCCGGGTCGAAAACAGCGAAGTCAAAACTCTTGGGACAGATGTCTGCGGTGATCGGCCAAGATATCAATTTTGAGTGGCAACTGCGATGATCAATGACTGGAATGACAGGTAATTAAAGCAGAATCCATAAAATACAGACATGTGGGCAACTAGCCAAGAGAGTTGACACAGAACCCATCCCAATGCCCAAGACAAGTCAGTAGCACCTGTGTCAGTGACCTTCACGATGAAGAGGTGTTGATCAAGTTCATGACGAAGAGAAACCAAGAGCAGCCGCGGGGCAAGACGGTGGACAAGTAAGGAAAGCAATGTAACTAGTAAGTATGTTATTTTGTGGACACATGTCACCATTCCCCATGTTTGTATTGGGGATTTGTTAGTTTTGCATATGCATATGGGATCATCCACCAGAGGATATCAAATATTTAAATTTCATTTGTTCATATCATATGATGTCATATGAATATATAGTTTTAAATAACATAAAGTCTCTGCAAACAAAATGTGGCAAAACAAAACTGTAGCTGCAAACAGTTGACTTCAAAAGAAAACAAATTCGTGGGTGACGTGATCTTGTTCGATTAAGTTTCCTTATTCAAAACTCATTTTTTTCATTTTTTATTTTTCCCACGTTTTCTCATATTTTCCCATGTTTTCCCATGTTTTCTCATTTTAAAACTCTTTAAACCTCAAAGTTTCTCAATATAACTCTTGAAAAAACCTACCCTATCCAGAACCCACCTAGGTCAAGGTAGCACATTACAATTGGTGAGATATGGATTGTTATCACTGATTGTGAGGAGTCCCATTGAACTAGTCAGCGAAAACCCATGAAACTTGTAACCACCAACCAGGGGTTTCGGGGTCGCTCATATGACTCACGTGGAATGGATGTTCTCGTCTTGTTGGGCAATTGGGGTTCCCAAATATACCAACATCACTGACCACCGGAATCTTGGTATAATGCCCACAGCATGAAAAAAACATGGACTAGAAAAATCTATGCCAAGCATAAATGGGATGGGTTACAACTAACTAAAATGACCAAGAGCTGTGGTGCACGTGTGACCGAAATCTTGACACATGCCTGCACAGGGGTAGATATCCACTGCAGCTACCACTATAGTTGGTGGTTTCAACGAATCCAAACGTAGCACCCTGGGATCATCCCAGTCAGAATGAACTAGTTTTATGATTCTAACACATTTTAACACTATTGAAACTACCATAAAATCATAAACTACCAGCCCCTCAAGAAAACTTCCATAGATGATTGCTCCAGAATCTCCAGAAATTGTGCGGGAAACCAGTGTGGTTCCTATAGTAAATAGAGGCGTTTTCTGGGACAACTCCCTTCGTCCATTTCTTGGAAAGTATCTGGAGCGGCACTGAACTCTACAAACGGCAGGTTCGGTAGCTTTCGCTCGCAGCCACAAGAAGTGCATCCACTGGAACCGCAGCCGCACGATTCACAAGATGCCGATGTGCAAGCGGTGGCACATGACACGCCGCCCATGACAGAAAATAGTGTATGTAAAAGATCCCCAAATTTTAGATATTGCCATGCTCTGCAAATTGGGATAGGAAAATGGAACCAAAGAATCCCGAGGTGGGTGATATAGAAATCCGGTTTGGGACTGCGTTGATCTGCATTACCAATCTACGCGGTTGAACCATGTTTTCATTCCCGCATATTCTAGCAAGACATGAGGGAACGTACGTTGTCTCAAGTCATGGGTCTGACTTCAAGAGTGTGACAAAAAAAACATGAAGGAAGATCCGTCTGGTGATCCATCTGATGGATCGAAATTTTAAAAAAGTGGGTTCTTGAAGCCCTTGGACCTTGAACCCTGACCATGTTTGGCATGTTTGGCCCATCCTGCGGGGACGGGCTCTGAGCGGAATGTTTCATATGAACTCCGTTACCAGAAAAAGGTGTCTTAAGCTTCAAGTCACGTTGGTTTGGCAAAAACATGTTTACCTCCGATTTGCAACGTTTTCTGCTGAAATAGCTGAGAAATACCGGAAAACACAAGTTTTGATCAGCCAACAATTTGTCAATTTGTTTGATATTTTTGACTTGTTTGTTGATTTTAAAATGTTTTCTCATGTTTTCTCTAAGATCTCTAAGCTTAAATGACTGCCATCGAATACCATCGATTGCCCCAATGATCCCACGGTGTTCTCTGGGAACCGGTAACCGCGCTATGCGCCTTCCCCGTGCCCAGGCTGCGCTCGTCGGAGGCACCTATCGGCACCAAGCGTATTCGAAGCATTTTGAAGCTGAAATTCTTTGCAAAAAACGCGGATCCATAAAACACATCCCCCGAGGCAAACAAACTGCGCCATCAAGTTTTCCTAAATTCAGAAATTGCCTTGAGGCAGAATTCGGTGTTCTGTTGCCAGGTTTTGTGTGCCAGGTTTGTGGGCGCCAACTGACCGATTTTAGTTCTTACTGTAGCGGAACCCAGCAAAAACTATGCGGATGTATTTCACCTAGTGGAAACACTGGCAGTATGGATGAATGATTGGACAAACAAAATCACCCAACCGCGCACACACACACAGACACACACACAAGACAAAATTGGATCTTTGAAGAGATCCATCAGGAACTGAGTCCTGTAACATGCAACCAGCCAAGACAATTAGACCTAATAGATCTCGTGGTTGTACTTCGCGAGAACGATGAAGGTTTTCCGAAATTGTTGAAAAACAGATTGCGGAAAACGTGCAGAGCATCAAATGACATCGCAATTGGCAAAACCGGCTAGGTGGTTCTCGGGTTAGCCACGTCCCATTGCAGAAAAATTGACATGAAAAACGAAGCAGGTACGTCGGGATGATCAGTCCCGATATCACAATCTCAAACCACCGTCTTCGTTGGGCAGTGGATGGAATGAGATTCACTGCCGCCCTGCTCTATTAGAAAGGGAGAAGAAAGAAAAAGAAACAGGAGAAGTTTTACATCTATTTAGATGTTACACACACACAGACACAGACACAGACACAGACACAGACACACACACACACACTTGCATCAAAACACAAGGTGCCGGCAACTTGGGTATCACTTTTGGAGGTGGTGCTGACGACGCATTATGAGGGCACATTCCCTTAGGACGCATTAGGCTGTGACGACGCATTGTGACGACGCATTACCCCTTGACGATGCATTACGCCTTGACGATGCATTACCCCCTGACGACAGATTGTGACAACACATTCCCTGACGACGCATTACCCCTTTGACAGCACATTACCCCCCTGACGACGCATTTTTGACAACACCTGATGGCGCGATACCCCTTTGACGGCGCAGTATATCCCCTGACGATCATTGTGACGACACACTTCCTGACGCCACATGCAGTACTTGCACATTGTCGATTGACGACGCATTGCGACGCCGCACTCCCTGGCGCCTTATTACCCTGTGACGACGCGTTATCCACATTCCCTGACGCCACATTTTTCTGTGACGACGCGTTGCCCTTTGACAATCCATTGTGACTGCACATTACCCTCAAACAATATTTTAACGAAGCATTGCCCATGCTGAAAAAGCCTGGGGCCATTGCTACGTTTCAACCGGGAAGGGTTGATTGGACCCATCGTTCAAAAGTATAGAGCCTCTTAGCGCTTGGCGTGTTAAGTAGCTTTACATCTTTGAGTATTAGCATCTTGGCATTGATGCATGGGCATCTTAGCATTGAGTGTCTTGGCCTCTTGGCGGCGGAGCATCACCGTGTCTTTGCGTGAAAGAACTTTGCGCCTTAGCATTTCAGCGTCGTCTCACCGTCTCATGCTTTCATTTTCACATTTTAGATCATTTTAGCGTCTTACCTTGTTGGTGGTTTAGCAACTTAGCGTCTTTGCAAGCTACGGGGTTTTCCATTGTGGTGTAGCATCTTAATGTCTTATAAACCATATTAAGGTGTTAGCATCTAAGCGCTAACTTAGCATCTTAGTCTTCGCCTCTCAGTGTTTCACGTCGTAGTGCCTGAGCCTCTTCGCGCACATGTGCCTCAGCCTCTTAGTTCGGACCGTCCTACCGTCTGAACATCTAAGCGGTCTAAGCGTCTAATTAAGCTTCTCAGCGTCTCAGTCTCTTAGCGCTTTAGCATCTTGGCTTCATAGCGTGTTTGCATCTTGGGGTCGTAGCAACTTTGGGGATAGAAACTTAAACGTCTTTGGAAGCTACAATAGCGTTTCCTCCACTCCTTCCCTTCCGTTTATGTTTCTTCCTTCGCGTTTCCGCTCCTTCTTTTTCGTTTCTTCTCCACCCTTTTTGTTTCCAATCCTGCATTTTCGTTCAGACTCCTTAAACCGTCTTCGGAATTCGTCTTCGTCTGCGGGTGGAAATGTGATACCCGCACAGCGGCCACAAAGTAAAAACATGTTCATCACCCTGCTGGTTTTGTCATGCTCTGTCTATCTCTTCGCTGTCTTGCATTTCTGTTGTGCACAATTTGCATTTATAACTCACCATGAAGGCCGTCAAGATTCATCAAACATGAATGTCTCCCATCTGGTTTGAGGCAAATATTTTGCCATTGGAGTCTCAGAATTGATAAACTGCAATCCTGAAGGTGCTTCTATTCTGTGTTTGTCTTGTGTGTTTTACCAAGTTTCTATTTGTGAGCCGCCCCCATGGAGGCTTCATTCAAGGATATCCGGATCGATGCCACCGTACATGTCATTGCTAATCAATGCTAATCAATGCTAATCATGGATTCCCCGCAGCAAAGTTAACGTAAACCAAGTATATACGTACAGCAATTATATCCAATTCTAGAATGGGATGTTCTATGTTTCCATTTAAGTTCTAATGGGATAATCATGAATAACCCATTGACAAACCATTCAATAAGCTTTGAAGGTGATTCACGACACCTTTTTTTTGGTGAAATGCCAATTTTGGTTGGCTAAATCCCCATGTCGATTGGCTAAAAAACTGCATGATTAGTTTGTAAAAGCAATGGCTCTAGCCTTAGAACCATTGGAACCGTTGTGCCAACGCAGTGCCAACAAGCTGTCAAGTCCAATGGTTCTAAGGCGTGCCTTACGCTGCACCGTGCAGGATGCGGGAGGCTCGCCGCTCCGCCGAGGGTTGCGCCGTTCACCTGCCGTTCAAAGGGCCATGTAGGCCATGTACCAAGGCAAAACACATTTGTGAAAGGTGGGAACATGTCACTGGCAATTCAATGATGTCTAAAATCCTTAAAAAAACATACAATATTATACAAGTATACTCTAAATGCATTGCATATGTCCAGTTGCAGTCGTGCATGTACGTATCATCCGTAGTAGCATAGAGTATAGGCGGTTTTACATGCTATGAACTATGTGACTATGTGTATTATATCATCCTGCACCAAACATTGTGCCCTTTTTTTGGTGATTTGACACTGCACCTCTATAGGGCATACCCAAGTTTGAACCATACCCGCATTCAGATCTGACAGCTCATCGGACACGAAAAATATTGCTTTATGAACCTATACCAGTCCAATCTATGTTTTGACTGTGAATGAATATGCCTGCAGGAACTCAAACTCTTTATTCTCCGTGAAAGAGAAACCAAATTCCCACGCAATGGCCTGCCATGCGAAAGCGCAGTGCTGGTGTCTTGAAATTTGGACAACGCCTGCCATCCACACATGCAAAGCACTCTTCGACAGGCGACAGGCAATTCTGTCATGATGCATTCACAAGGTTCCATCCTAAGCCTAAGCCCAAAGAAAGGCAAGCAAAGTAGTTAGTAGGCGGCGCGTAGACGGCCCCGCGGTTTCGGGCCCTTTTTTTTGGGTGGGGCGAGGTCGGGTGAGATGTTAACGTTCATGTATATGTGCGCACATGCTTGATGCTACGCCACAAGATCTTCTCTTGCACTTGCACATGCACTTGATGCTATGCTACAAAATCATCTCTTGCACTTGCCCACGTACCCGACGTTATGCTACAAGATTCTTACATAGTTTCTGACGTATCATCTGGAAGTATATATATATAAATATGGCATATATACCTGCATCCTCGAACAAACACAAATAAATGCTCATTTGAGAGATTTCTGCTTTTTGAACGGTTTTTCTCCACATGAGCGTAATTGCACCATTTTAGGTATTTTTACACTTTGTGCATTTTGAAGCCTAAATCATAAGCGTATTTTGCCGGGAAATAAGCGTAAATACCCGGGAAAAATGTGTAAATGCCCGTCCGTCAAGAAACAAATGCGCGTGTTCTGGTTCAAGTGAGCATAGAAAGTCAGAACGAGCGTAAATCCAAGCGAAAACTGCTATGAGCAGAAAAAAGTGCTAAGTGAAGATCCAGGTATTCTGACAACATTCTACCTAAATTTCTGACCGGCAAATACTCTGACATTCTATCTAACATCTTTTCAGGCATTCATTCTGGCATCTATTCTTGCATTCCATCTGGCATTCTATCTGACACAAATCTTGATTTGACATCCTGTTTGGCATTATATCTGGCATTCTCTCTGGCACGTGTTC